TCATATTGAGGGTATTTTTGGAACTTTAAATTTTTAAGATAGTAAAAGGGTATTTTGGAAAGGGTATGGTTGAATTTGGGGTATTTTGAATAATTTCTCATCTGATAATACCCACACATTTGCCCTATAAATGGCGGGAGCCTCATTTCTCCGTTTCGTCAACGTTTCTGAACTCTATTCGATTGTCCAGTCCCTTTAAACCCACCATTTCAATTTCTCATTCTGGAGATTTTTCATTTTAGGGTTTTGAATCACCATAGCTTTCTCCGTGGTTCTGTTTTCCTTGTTTTAGGGTTTTGAATCACAAAGTTTTTTAATTTTTTGGGTGTAAGGTTATTAGAGAAGTGTCTTGTACAGAATGGAGGTTGCGGCCGGTGATGCCGCCACGCGTAGCGTTTCTTTGCCGATGTCGTCTTTTCGTAAGGAGTGGCATGTTATCCCGGAGCAATTGCTTCGAAACTCTGCTAATGAGGTGCTTTTTCTGTAAATTTTTACTTGCGTTGGCTTTATTTGATCTCAATGTTTTTGGGTTCTCGGTTCATTTAAAACCAATTTATTGCTACATTGTATCTAAACGTAGATGCTCTTTAATGTAAATAACTAATTTGTTATTTTCGATTTTTACACCAAATCTTATTCTTAATATATATATAGAGGCCCAGAGGGTAGTAGGAGGAAATAGAACTTGAAATCAAAATCAAACAAACTTTGAAAAAAATATTAATTTATCGAAGAAATATTGAAATTGACATTACAAGATTTTGAATACAAATTATTGTTCAGAAAATTAGAAATTAGAAATTACAAGGAATATTTCTAAATTTCTTGAATAAGTTTTTTCTCCGGCTAAAAAAGTTCTCATCGAAAGCTTTAGTTTTAGTCTTAGTCTTCCTTTATACTTGAAATCTGGACTTGAAATTTTCATTGAACCATATTGAAGGAATCTTGAATATTGCTTGAATGATGCCGTTAGCCATAAAGCAGCAATTTTAATAAAGTAGTCACTATTTTAATAAAGTGAGTTGAGTGGTTGGCTATCACATCATACTTTGTTGTTGAAATAATTTCTACTTTAATAAAGTAGCGTCATTAAAAGTTATTTTTTTGATGTCGATAGTGCTGGTAGAAATAACTTTTGAGGTGGAAAGCATAATTTGAACGGCATTTCTTATGAATTATGAGCCCGATGCTGTCTACAATCATCCAAGTAACTAGATCCATATAGTCATTCAGCCACCGTTTGTTTCTCATTTTCATCCATAAAAATGAAAAATATGATCGTTAGCCATCACATCAAGTCATCAATTTTGAATTTCTACCTTTGTGTGGGGCCTAATAACGGCTATATTTTTCATTTTCATTCAACAATAATGAGAATCAAACGGGCACTCAAAATCTTTTTGAGTTTCTTGATTTATTAATTCATCAATATCTATGCCCAAGTATCCTTCCTCATTTTTTGAGTATAGTCAGTTTCTGAATCTGATTTTACTTTGATTTCTTTGAAGTGGATTATGCCAACGAAGCAATTTTCTCCGAGATCACTGCTAATTCTTCTAGCGTCATGCACTGATTGAACATAGCTAATAATCTTGATTTCTCTGCGAGAAAATCATCTTGTTTCTCTTGTTCTTTCTTTGAAAATTTTGGGATACCAATATTTTACCGCTCTTGAATCGATGAACAAACAGCTTTTAGGCAATAATTTGTCTCATGAAATTTGGACCGCCATTTAACCTTGAGCCTCCGAATTATATGTTTAGTTATTCGGAGTTTGGATTTTGAACAAGATTGAAGTTCCAGCAGAAAATACATGAAATCTTGAAATTATAGAACTGGAACAAAATATTTTCTCGAGGCTTTAAAAATGTTTTTGCCTCTTTTTTGAAAATTTTGAATCCTTGACGAGTAGACTAGGGACTTGTTTGATAGAAATTAAAATTGAAAATATAGCCGTTATTGGGAGTCTCACTTGTCTAATAAAAGTCAACAATAACAGCTAGTTTTTCAATTTTAATCTCTACCAGACACACTCTAGGTAAAATCATCTCGTCATTTCCAAAATATTTGAATCAAGTTTGAAACCATTTTGGAAAACTTGAAACACATGCTTGGTTAAAAAGAATAAACCAAGAGTATGTCACTGGTCTAAAGTTTAAAAAAAATGATACCAAGCATCCTTGAAATCAAAATAATTGTAATGAGATTCGAATGTTATATCTTTGGATAATTGCATTCTTTTCTAATCCGAAGGGTTTGGTCCCTAGTTTTCATAAGATAATACCCTTTAAATACTTATTTTTGAAAAATCAATTTGTTTGGGTTTTTGAGGGTTTGGAGTGTGAGTTATGATAACTGATCCAATTTTTATGAGGATGGCTTCATAAAATACTCTTGATTTTTTTACGTTTCGAGGCATGAAATAAAATTAAGAAGGGAAAATGTCTTGAAGGCATTCATTAAAAGATGAATACCTATGTACCCATGAGGGTTTCGATTTCAAGAATGGGTAAATGAATAGGTTTGGTAAAATAATGAAAAGTTTTGGATGAATTAATGTTAGGTAGTTTTCCACAGCCATTTTGAACAGATTTTTTTGAAATTTGAAGTTAAAATTTCTGGTATATTGAAAATATTTTTAGTTTGAAAATTTCCAAGTTTTTGAAAAGTAGAAATGGAGAGAATTTTTGAAGCTTGTGTTGTTCTTTGAGAAGTAAAAGATGAACTTTGTTCTCTTTTTGATCCATGAATGTAATCCTCAATTGAGAGTAAAGGAATTGAAGTTTTCTTCTCATTCTTCTTGAAAGAAGAATCCATTTTGATCTCTCTTGCTTACAATTTTGATGTTCTCACAACTCACTTTCTTATAAACTCTCTTGTAAGGAAGTTTGCAACAACATTAGATTTTTCCTCTATATATACTATTTCGAAATCAAAACATGACAAAATAGCTTGTCATCTTGCAAATATTTGTTTTGAACTAAGTTTTTGAACGTCTTTTTATAAAACGTCTTTTGAGACTTTGCAATATGTTTTTAAAACAAACTGTTTATTGATTAAATCATCTTGAAATTTTGATATACATAATACTTTTGATAAAATTTCTTTTTTGATAGTAGAATAGTTCTTTTGCGATCCAGTCCACACACATGAGTGAAACCTAACCAGTTGTTCTTTATGAGACTCTTTTGGAATCTACTCTTTTGAAACCTAAACCATCATTTTTAATAACATGAATAAATGTATTAAAATGCTTGAAATGATGTTCCAAACTTTCAAAATAGATTGAACATCATCAATATAAATAATGATAAAATTTTGAAAATGATTGACAATGTCATTAATAACTTTTTGAAATTCAGAAGGAGTATTTTTTAGACCGAATGGCATAACATTCCACTCGTACTATCCAAAAGGAATATTAAAAGCAGTTTCGTACCTATTTTCTTCTTTGATTTGAATATGCTAACAACTACATTTCATATCAAATTTTGAGAAGATAACAACTTTGAATAATCTGTTTTTTCAAGATCTTTCTTTATTGAGAGGCTTGTAATTGATGATGAGTCTAGGAACACCTTATTCAATTTTCGCAGAATTATTAACATAGAAAGCTGAACAACTCCGTGGAGATTGACTTGGGCGGATAAGTCATTTTTCAAGTGAATCGTTGATTTCTTTGATACAAAAGTCAAGTAACTCCTTATTCATTTGACTGGGATGAGACTTGGTAGGAATCGTGAAATCATGAAATTCTTTTCATATGGAAGAGAAATAATATGTTTCTTTTTATCCCAAAATGTATTAGGAATAGTAGGACAATTTGTTTTTGAAAATGAATTTTTTTCTTTTATTGAAGAGTTTTGTAATTGCTCTTCAATTCTTTGGAATTTAATTTTTAATGTACGAAATTGAATATGTTTTTTTTAATTGATATTATAAATAATTTTTGAAATTGATGCTTCTTTTAAAGAATTAACATCTTTATAAGAAGGAGAATTTGTAAATTTGAAAAATATTTTTTAACCCAAAAGATTTGTAGTAAGTCCTTTTGAATCAATTTGAAGGGATAAATTTGAACAATAAAAGGAGTACCAAGTATAACTTATTGGTCCAAGTCTTTGATTAAATAAAGAATATTTTTGAGACAAATATCTGAATTATAAATATGAGCTTTTGAAAGTTTGTATTCAATATTGAGTTTTTTTACCACTAGCACCATACAGATGCTCAGTATTTTTCTCAAAATATTTTGTAGGGATAAGTTCTTCCCTAATACAATTTTGATCAGCTCTGGAATTAATTAAAACTCTAGAGATGAATTTAAAATCTTTATCGACTACAATAGTCATATTGCAATATTATTTTTGAAGTTGAATTCAATTGATAACATTAACTTTTTCTTCTTCCGTTTGAACATTTTCATGATATTTTGTAGAAGAAGTTTCTTCTTCAGAAGAGGAAGAGGAGGAATCATCATGATTAGAAGCATTCTCTTGTTTCAATGTTTTGGTTTTTAAGTGAACAACTTCCATATAAACACCTTTCATTTGACGTTCAAGAATTGTTTGAGATTTCATCTCATTGATTTCTTAACTTAATTCAAAACTAGAAGATTTTGAAGAAGTTGATGCACTATTAAACCTATTCAATATATCCTTTCTATTAAAAGGTGTAACGGCGGGATTTGAAATAGAGGGTAGAAGAATTGAGAACTTTTTCTTTAATTGAGGATCTTCGATCATTTCAACTTTGTTTTGAATAAGTTCTTCTTGAGTAAGAACATTTATGTTTTTACAACCACAAATCTTATGTCCTTGACTTGAGGAGAAGATGAATTTGAACTAGTTTTAGTATCAGAATCTTCTTGATGTTGATAAACTTGTCCAATCTCAGAATAATCTAATTCTTCATCGGAACTAGAATTGAGTACATTAAGAAGCTCAAGTTTAATTTTTTCATCAATTTGAAGATTATTAATCTTCCCCTTCATTAGGCATTTATTGGAGTAATGACATGTTTGATTACATTTCCAATAGGTAATATTTGAGGTTTTAGGTATTTGTTTCCCTAAATGAAGTGATGTTCAAATCATGCCTTCCACTTTAAAAGTTATTTCTACTAGTACAATCGACATTTAAAAGACAACTTTAATAAAACCGTTTTATTAAAATAGAAACTATTTCATTGACAAAGTATGAAGTGATAGCCAACCATCTTA